ACAAATACTTTCCAGCAATCATTCTGATTTTAATTATCTAGTGGATGAACCCTCCCTCTGAAGAAGTCAAATGGTGTTTTGCAGCCAGTTCCTCACTGTGGGCTGTGTTTCTTAGTTCAAACCTGCTTTGCAGCTTTTGCACTAGTATTTTTCATTTTGCACTCTAGCTTTACAGTCTCAGAATTTTTTCCTCTGTTTTTGATTTTTAAATGCTCTTTGTTCCTATCTATACAATCAAACACAGTGCACTCAAAATAAAATTTGGGAAAGTTGCAAGCAATTTTTCCAGCAAAAAATACTACACGTTCAAAAATACATAAATAAAGATTTTAATAAGCCTCACACAAACAGGCATATGCCTACTCATTCCTCCAAATTCTCAGAGCTCTTGGTAAGACTTCCTTTATATTTGTCTTAGTCCTTCAAGTCACACACATCTTAAAGTTAAAAAAGATAGACTTGTTAATAACGCACAAATGTTCATAGACATAACATCTTTACAGATACCCTCTGCGAGCAGATCAAGCCACTCTCCATATGTATTTAAATGTAGTGGAAGGCTGGAGTTTTTAAGTTGTCAGATCTGTGCCTGGGTAAGAGGGGCTCTATTTTCACTCTTCGAGCAGCGAGAGATTAGCAGCTTGAAATCACTTTGACAGTTTCAGTTACTCTATTGCATACCGCAGGGAATTTTAATTCCAACCTGTGAAATTGTAATTGCTTCTCAAGAAGAGCGGAAGGATTCTGGGTAATGGACACAGCCAAGCTCAATGTCAGAGTTGGCAGTTGCTGCCACTTCAGATATTACTTGCTGTTATTCAGAAATCACTCCAGCTTTCCATATGGGAAGTTGAACTGGGGAGTGAAACTACATTAACAGAAGCTGTCAGATGTTCAGAGATGTGCAGGCAATGATGTGACAGAGGTGGATGAACTCTCCTCAAAAGGTACCTTCTCCTTCTTTCTTCCTCCTGCTTTATAGAACAAGCTTTATATAAACCACTTTACACCACCCGGCAATGTGCGCTCGCAGCCCAGAAGGCCAACCGTATCCTTGGCTGCATCGAAAGAAGTGTGGCCAGCAGGTCGAAGGAGGTGATTCTGCCCCTCGACTCTGCTCTTGTGAGACTCTACCTGGAGTACTGCATCCAGCTCTGCGGCCCACAACATAAGAAGGACATGGACCCGTTGAAGCAAGTCCAGATGAGGGTGATGAATGATCAGAGGGCTGGAGCACTTCTCCTAGGAAGAAAGGCTGAGACAGTTGGGGTTGTTCAGCCTGCAGAGGAGAAGGCTCTGGGGAGACCTTATTGTGGCCTTCCAGTACTTGAAGGGGGCCTACAGGAAAGACAGGGAGGGACTCTTTATCAGAGAGTGTAGCGACAGGATGAAGGGTAATGGTTTTAAACTTAAAGAGGGTAGATGTAGATTAGATGTCAGGAACAAATTTTTTACAGTGAGGGTAGTGAAACACTGGAACAGGTTTCCCAGAGAAGTAGTGGATGCCCCATCCCTGGAAGTGTTCAAGGTCAGGTTGGATGGGGCTTTGAGTAACCTGGTCTAGTGGAAGGTGTCCCTGGCTGCAGCAGGGGAATTGGAACTAGATGATCTTTAAGATCCCTTCCAACCCAAACCATTCTATGATTCACTTCTTTTATTTCATATTCTTTTTCTAAACAAGTATACCATCAATAGAAAGCTACACTGAAAAGATTAAATGACAAAGTGCTCCAGCATCCAAAAGCATGCACAAGTAGGACATAAAAAGTGGGGACTTAATGTTACTCAGAAGAGAATAGAAAAGACATCTTAAATGAAGTCTTGTGGTTTGCAAGATTCCTCACTGAAAATAGTCAAAAAGAACTCAGAGCTACCACAGACATTTAAGAAAAATAGCTGAGGATTCCTTGGTACCGACACGAAATCAGATTCTTTTTTGCTCTTTTAAAAAAAAAGGCATGATTGAATTTAGACTGCTTATTAGCAGACACATTCTCTAGTGATGAGTGCGTACATGCACGTCTAAAAGCAAGATCAACTGACAGTGGTGAAATTTCTGCGATGACATCATTAACATGGAGTGCAGTAGATTTGTCACCCACCCTGATGGCTTGTAAAGAGAGAATACTTGGTGGAAGTAGGCCCAAACATAATGCCGATGTAAAAATTAAAAATGCCACCTGGCATGGCAGTTAGAAGCATTCAGGAAGCCAAATGAGAGCAAAAATCACAGATCAAATGCGTTCAGCTCAACCCGTTCCATGAAGCAGATACAATTCTACAGCCCACTCTGCACTGACTAAGGTTTCCCAGCCTTCAACAGTAGCCCTGAGATGCATTCAGTTTGGGTTTTGCCTGAAGGTCCAGATGAGCTGTTTGTCCAGAACTGACTTGTTCAGCTCAGTGTCTTTGAAAGCTTTTGTTGTAAATAAACAGGAACAAATGACAAACACTCTACTGCTTGACAACACAAAATGTCAAAAAGCCCTCTCAAAAGCTAAAGGAAGATAATAAAACACTTGATAAACAACACTTCCTACTTACCAGGTTAGAGCTCAGTTTAAGAATATACTGCATCTGTGGGCAATGCCATTTACAAAGTCTTCTTCATCCTCTTTCTGTACCTTGTGCTATTTCTAAGAAAATAAGCTCGTCCCATTAAAGCCAATGATGCACAGAATCTAAATCACAAGCTTCGTAAATCTCTGTAACAGCTGATGCAATGAGTCTGTAATTGCTACGATTAGATAAGCTAGAGTGGCTGACAGAGAGTGCTAGAGGCATAGAACATATCTGCATAGTTTATTCCCATCAAATGCAAAAATTTGGCTCAGATATAATGATTTTGTCAACTCATAGTTTTCCTGAGAATCTTGTGATATACGGTACTTTCCTGAAAATTTCAGCTCCCAGAGTCAAGTGGGGTTTTTTTTGAATATTTCAGATTTGTTAAAAGTGTATATTATTGATTGTTACATATTCAAGGTTGTAAAAAAAAAAAAAGCCTAAAAAAAACCAAGCAGAAGCAAATCAAGAGCACATTTTTTAAAAAAAAATCTCATGAATTTTGAGTCTTGGCTCATGACCTTCAGTGGTTGCAATAAGAAATATAATATTCAAGTCATTACACACCTAATTTCCTGAAGACAGTTACATTTGTTGTTATAATTTACAGGCTGTACTGAAAGCATCATGGTGGAACTTCCCGATTAACTGCCTGTAACTACTAGGAATCCTCAGTTTATAAAGTACAAAGCATCCTTCCTAGAGGGTTACTCATCTGCACTGCAGAGCCACTGTCTTGGCTTTGGCTCGGACAGAGTTAATTTTCTTCATCGTAGCTAGGATGGGGTTATGTTTTGGATTTGTGACCAAACCAGTGTTGATAACACAGGGATGTTTCAGCTGTTGCTGAGCAGTGCTCGCACAGAGTCAAGGCCTTTTGTGTTTCTCACACTGCCCTGCCAGCAAGTAGGCTGGGGGTGCACAACAAGCTGGGAGGGGACACAGCCGGGACAGCTGACGCCAGCTGACTGAACAGATATTCCAGACCATATGACGTGATGCTCAGCAATAAAAGCTGGGGAGAAAGAGGAAGAAGGGGGGGGACATTTGGAGTGATGGCGTTTGTCTTCCCAAGTCACCGTTACACATGATGGAGCCCTGCTTTCTTGGGGATGGCTGACCACCTGCCTGCCAATGGAAAGGAGTGAATGAATTCTTTGTTTTGCTTTGCTTGCGTGCGCCGCTTTTACTTTACCTATTAAACTGTCTTCATCTCAACCCACAAGTTTTCTCACTTTTATCCTTCCGATTCTCGCCCCCATCCCACTGCGGGGGAGTAAGCGAGTGGCTCTGCGTTAGCTGCCTACTGGGGTTAAACCACAACAGCCATGTAGGCAGCTCAGCTCCGTCTGTGCTGGGTATGACACAAACACACTGAAAAAAAAATACAGTTCCTGCTCTTAAGACTTTAAATAGACTTCTGCAAGAGGAAGGTTGGATGAAGAGCCAGAAAGGTGACAAGGCATGAATGAATGAACGAACAATATCACGCAGTCGGCTGCTGGCAGAACTGGGCACAGAGGACAGTCCCTAACTGGCCAGCACAATCTCAAGACGTGTGGAGATCCTGTCATGACAAAAATGGCTTGAAGAAAGTAATTAGAAATTTGCAGTGTGCGAAATGTAACCTCCCCACAAAGAGAACAATATTGTCTTACACACAGCATGATCCAATGCACAGCTAATACTAGATTCACATTTTGTTCTGTAAGCATTATACTAAATCTACAGAGACTGTATTAAATCCATCTTTTAACAGAACTCTAGCACCAGAACTCCCGTCTTCCCGTTCAATGATAAAAAAACCCCAATACCTTTAAAACTATTTTTATGTAAAAAGTGATTCTCATTCTATTAACAAAACCTAGTAATGCATTGTGAAGTTGAGAGAGGCAAGATGGCAGGCCAAAAATTCTTTCAGACATGACAGCAAAATCAATAGCAACAAATGACAAACTTTAATGGCCCAGCAGTATTTGATTCTAATGTAAAAAGACACATATCAAACCATCACATTGCATTAAGCAAAACCTTTAAGAAAGCTTTAAATGTTCTGCCCATAAAAGATCACCAACATCCCTCAATGGAAAGATGTCTTATAAACTTCATGAGTTTCCTGCATGCAATTTTACCGCTACAGCAGTTACAAAAAGAGTAAGCAATGCAAACATTGCATCATTTTAGAAAATAGAAGAGCAAAGATGCAATAAACTGTTCTGCCAACCAAGGATCTCAAATTTTGGCAAGATAGGTCGCCCTAGAGCTTATTAACATTCTCTCCTATGAATGACAGGAAAGGCATAGGGTGAGTACAAATTATTGCTCAATTTATATTAGCTTTTTTTTTTTGAAAAAAAAAAAAATTGTTGGTAAAAGTGTTTCCTTTGAAGATTTTAAACAGCAGTTTTATTGTTTTCATAAAAGCCTCATTCAGTTCACAGTTCTGTTTTCATTCCTCCGTAGTAAAACATAACAAGAACTGCCAGCAGAGCCAGGCTGACAGACAGTATCTTCAGTCCACCTCCTCCTTGTTGCCATGGGAGCTGCAAAGCCATCCACGAGCTGAGCGGTGTTTTTACTGGGATCTCAGCAGAAGGGTGTGCTTTCCAGTTTGTGCCATTCTGTGGTGCATGTCTGAACTCCTGTGAAGAAATGCATATATTAAGATTGGAACTGTTACGTATTTCTGATTGTACATTCCAAATACAAATAAAATCTTCTCTTTATATTGAGGTTCAATTTAATATCCCTTTTCAAGACAAACAACAATTCAACCTGCACTGCAGTAGGTCATCAGTTTTTCATACAGAAATCTTACCAATGCCATACAAAGTAAATCTTTCAAATGAAATTAAACTGCCAAATCAATGAAGCTGTCAGCAATAGAAACTAATCTCCAGACCTCAATGTTGTCAAAGAGAGTTGTTTGATGATTATTTTTTTATTTGTTTGTTTTGCAGCTATCTCACTACTCTCCCATTTTTGGCTTCTTCAAAAGAAATGTCTAACCAGCGATAAAGGGGACCACAACACAACAATCCTTTGCACAGCAGGGCTCTTCTAAAGTCAATCATCGTCTCCTGGTGTGCCAGCTCAGTGGTGCTTGAAAATCCTCCCACAGGGCTTTTCCTTTCCCCTGACCCTCAGGAGGCAGCTGTGCTAAAACACTCACCTTCTCATTCAGCATATTGAATCCGAGTTCCCTGCTGCGCCTGCCATTACCAGTCTCAACCTGACTGCAAGCACCAAGGTCCCCCAGAATATGAGGACTTTTAACTGCAGCACAAGTTACAGACGTTGAGTCACTAATTCAGCTGAAAATCCAAATGGAAAGAATAAGAAAATCTTCCCTCTTGCAATCTTGTTCAGTTCAGCACACTAGCATTGTAGATACTCAAAAGTAAAAACATCTTTTAAAACTGTAATCTGATGACATTTGCAAGAGGTGTAAGCGGTAAAGGTGTAATTAAACAAAGGTGTAATGATCTTGCATCATAAGATTCAATATTTCTGTTCATCATTTCTTTTTTTCGCCCTCTATTTCAATAATCTCTTAGGAATTCAGCTGAGCTCAGCTGGATTTTTAATTGCTTTGAATTTTTCCAGCTAAAAAAGATTTTTTATTAATCCATTTTATTTTTTTCTCTTCACATTTTGTATAAAACAAGTCAGGGACCCAGAAAGTACCTATCTGCATAATCTTATACTTCCAAGCAGCTGAAACAGGATCACATGAAAATACAGACCAGATGCCCAACTCCTTCTTATACCAAATGTATTTCTGGGCAAACTCAATGAAATATCAAAGCTCCAAAAGAGATGCCTGCCCATGAAAGTGTGACAACACAATTCAAACTGTCTGTAACTGCCTCCTGTTTTCCATTTCAGGAATCAGCTCCATTATAGTAATTGTAGAAGGAAAATAATGATTACTACTGGTTAGGTAAGGAAGCATCGAAGGGCAAATGACAGCCTGGCATAAGTGCTATTCTAACATCTGAGGTATTGTTGATTTAGATCACAATTCACACAGGCAAATGCTTACTGAACAAGTGACCTATGAAATGAGGATGACTTATATATACTGCACCCAGAAGACCATCACCAGGTAAACAGAGGAAAAGGAAACAGGCAAGCAAATTGGGATGTAGTTCTCTGCAGCATAAGGCACGATAATGCCACCACTCCAGGACATCAGTCTGTATTTTGCAGAATACGTTAGCTTCATCAAAAATCATGAAACTGCTCCATATTGTTAAGTTATTAATTGCAATAAATTCCTAAGGCATCTGAAGTTTTAGTAACTGGCCGCGGCTATTTTATCCCCTAAAATCAAAGCTGATTAACCTTTGACTGCAGAATAAACTGAAAACCATACAGTATTAAGGATTTTCATATATGAATCAAAACTCATTTGCAATTTATTCTTTCTAGACATTTATAAAGCCTTTCTTTTCTTTGCAGGTCTCACAAATATCTACCAACCTGAGGTGCATAATTGATGGTCATGACCCATTTTTACATATATCGCTGGTACGGAAACACTAAGGCTAAGGTGATTTAAAATAATGGATAAAGCTGTAAAAATACGAATAAAACTGCTTTCTCCTGATATTTAATTTTCACCATTTCATGACTTAAAATCTGGCTGACTACAATCAGACTCCTAACTCTTACTAAATATTTCTACACAGCTTGGTAATCAGTAAAGTCCTGAATACATAGCTGTACAAGACTAGATGCGATCCATTAGAAAACAGATAAAAAGGGCCAGTACCTCATAAATGACTTTGTAACTTTCTCCTCAATGCTCCTCTTCATGCTTAGGCCTCAGTGTTTATCCACCTGTCTCTGTGAGACTGGAGATCATAGAATCATAGGTGACGGAGTACTGGCACAGGCTGCACAGAGAGGTTGTGGAGTCTCTGACTCTGGAGACATTCAAAACCCGCCTGGACGCCGTCCTGTGCAACCTGCCATAGGTGACCCTGCTCGGGCAGGGGGGTTGGACTAGATGATCTCCAGAGGTCCCTTCCAACCCTGAGCATTCTGTGATTCTGTGAATTCTGATGCATTTTTTTCTAATGGTAGTCACATTTACTAAACTGCTCAAAACTTTCAGATTTTTGCAGTATCTCAGATCATGTAAGAGACTGTCAAACACTTTAAAGAGAAGTTTTTCTTTCAATAGATGCATACATGAAATACTACTCCTATTACCTTGCTAACCTCAATTCTTTACAAATTTTCTCATGGATTAAACTGTTCTTATATGGACAAAAAGATCACAATTTGCAAACTAAAGTGACCCTTTTCTTTAAGATGTATTTCACAGCTTATCACTGAAATCCCTACTGCATTTCTGTTTGAATCACTTCAGTTTATCACTTCAGATGATCCTGCCAAATATTTTCTTTCAAGAAAAGTAATGAACATATTCATCTGATCCATGTTTTCTCAGAACTATTCTCCAGTTTGCCCCAAAATTCTGCCTTCCAACACTAATGCATGGGTAATACTGGCTTCCTTGAAACTTTCTGTCATTATTGTCACACATTTGTTATTTGTAAAAAAAGGGTAAACCTGGTTCCCTGCAACTGAAAGGCTCCTTTAGAAAATGGCAGTCTTTTGTCCCCCCTGCAATCTATGCAACAGCCTTTAAAACTAGGATAATCTCTCAGAGACACCTGCAGGTAGATGCCTCTTCGTAAGACTCTGGTGTGCATTTCTGTATGACACGGCGCAAAACTCAGTGGGAAGAGGAAGAGCTCTGCTAAGCTGACCATGTTCTTGCACTCTCTTAAGCCTGAGCTAAGGGCTGAGTGGCCCTCACTGCAGTCTGGACAACAGTGAAGTGCCTGTCTAGAATATAGTCGGTTCTTACTAACATACAAGTACCATATTACCAGCTGTACTAGTGAAAACCACTGTATATATATTTTTATTTGGGCAAGAAGTCCTTCTGTAAACTCTGAGGAACTAGATTTCAGGTAAAGTATACTGTATATGTTGTAGTGTACACTGCATGCACAGAGAAGTAGGAGAAGGGATGAAGTTACAGAAACTAAAACTAAAATTAAGCCTTCTAGGGTAGACAAGGCAAATCACAAGAGCTTCTCTGAGCTGTCATATGAGCTTTAGAGTTTGCAATACTGTAGTGCTATATTCTGAGACCCTCTCATATATGTTCTTTTCCCTAAAGCTTTCCATATACTGTGCCTTGAAGAGGTCTCCAAGACACCTGCAGAAAAGATCTTTCATGTTTCGTGGGGAGGGGAGTTCTGCACAGAAAACTAAGTTTATTAGAACTCTTTCATGCACCTTGGGTGTAAAAAACCTGGGTGGAGGCAAAGATCTCATTTGTTGAACTAGCAGTTACACTGGTCCATTCCCTGTGCTCTCACTTTATACAAGTATTAATTTGGAAAGGCCCTTATTTGTATCTCTAGATACAATATTTGCAGTGCATTAGCTTTTCAAGTAAATATTCAAGGCAATTCTGTAATATTCTGAACTGTTATAACTGGTGATATTTACTATACACAATCACTAGTCAGAGTGCAAGTTTCTCAAGCTGAGCTCAGAAATAACACTTTTGTAGCTGCAAGACTCAGGAAGATTAGCATAATGATTCAGTTCAGTGGAATTCAGAACTAAATCCAAAGCCTCTTTTACCCCCAAAATACTTGGAGGAAATCCTAAGGTAAAGAAGTTTCCAGAAATATGTGTTTATACTAATTCAAGTCTTGATAGGCCATAAACTCTTTGGTAGAGTTGTTAATAAGGAGCATTGCTTTCACTGAAAAGGACCATAATGAAGGAAAAGTTACTCTAAGATTTAAACCTATATACTATTAATCAAAATTAGAGGGGGAAGGGAAATTATCAAACTGAAATGCAAAGACAGACACTTTGAGCTAAGCATCTTGTATTTCCATGGAGGCAGCCTTTCATCTTGTTTTGGCAGCCACAAAGTAAACACAAGACTTTGCTAATAAGGTATAATATAAATTATTAAACCATCTAGAGTATGATCAAATGGATTTCAGATTATTTTTTGAATAATTCTGCCTTGACGACTGCCAGGAGTAATATATTTTATGTACTCTTGCACAGACCCATTGATTGCTGTCTTTCTGAAGCTCCAGTCCCAGACTTAAATTCCTGTGCATGAAAGAAATATATAATCACATCAAAACCTAAGCTTTGGCATCTGTCGATCACAGCCTAGCTTTTTGTAAGATCTCACTTCATGTTAGTCAACAAAGACATGAGAGCAACTCTTTAGCTCTGAGCTGAGGTTTTAATAGATTCAAAACATTTCTTACAAGCAAATTTCTTTTATGGCTCAGGGGCACTCTTAAAGCTTGAAGTGTTAGCTAACTGCTGTGAAAAACTACTTGACTGAGCATATCTCAAGATAAATTAGACTTCTGAATTTTTTAGCCCAACCAAGTTCATTTTACACACTTGTACCATGGGTTTAAAAATACAGACTTTTATATAATCATGCACAACAAGTCTGCGTGACAAATTAAAAGAAAACATGTTAAAATATGCATTACATATCCTACTGCGCCATTTGAAACTCTGGGCTATTACACTTTGGAGGCATTTTTCAGATTTAAAAACCAAACAGTTA